TGAGTGGAGGCTCTTCCCACTGTCCCAATCTTGTGAAATTCATTTTCTTGGAGTACATTTTAAGATGATTTGTTATTTTACCGTTAGATTAATTTCAGCCTAAGCTGCCAACCTTCATCAACAACAGCATTGCCATCAATACACGTCTTTCCTAGAAAAAGATTTGAGAAAATAAAAGCTACATCTTCTCAGCTTGGATGAAAACTTGTTCATCATTTAGGAACAAATAATTGCAATCTGACTTTTGAACTTGGATTACAAAATGAAAGGCAATGAAACTGATGTTAGAGGCCATTTATTTTGGAACAGCCAAAACTGGACTCCATTTGAAATTTCCACTATGGAATATACAGTTTCATCTCTAGAAAGCAAAACAAAAAATTTGCATTATTTTCCATGGCTTTATTTCACAAATCCTTCTGATCAAAAAATCCTTCAGCCAACCTATCTCAGCCCATTCCCTTCTCACAAGCCACAGATTTCTCAGTGAACAGGAATTGAAACCCCCCTAAGCCAGGGGTGGGAAAGGTCTGGCCAGCAGGCCATGTACGGCCCNACACTCCTAATGAACCTCTATCAGGAGTATGGAACATCAGGCCCACAGGCCATATAGGGCCTGCAAAATCATTTGGTCTGGCCCTGCCAAGGCAACTGCAGGCAGGACTCAAAATTCAACAAATTCAATTAAATGTTTGACCAAATATAGCAGGCTAATTTTTAAGTTGATAATTTTGTATGGCCTGCGAATGAAGTTATAAATATCCAAATGGCCCTTGGCAGAAAAAAGGCTCCCCACCCCTGCGCCTAAGCAGAAGTAGATTGTCTGAAAAATGGTTGAAGATAGATACATAAAGGCATCAATTGCAATCCTAAAACAATCCAGAAACCTCCTGTAGTCATCCGTCCTCCTCCCCTCTGCCATCTTTGTTCTGAAACAGACTCCTGCCACTGTCTTTACACTACAGTACACACACACACACTCTCACACACTGACAGATCTGAGCTTCTCTCCCTGCCCTTTCCTATGGGGGGAGTCAGTGAGTGATCAAAGGAGGAAAACTTGGAGGCTGGTTAAGCACCACCCCTATAAACTATCCCAGAAATTAGATCACCAGAAGTTCTTGACCAAAATAGTCCACACTACAATATCCTCTTGAGGAGTGTTTACTAACGGATTAAAAGCAATAGCTAGGAGCTCCCACTGGCCAAATCTTGGTAATCTGAGCACCAGAATTATTAAGGACAGTAAAGAACCATTGAAAAAGTATGAAACCGTAAGTCAACAATGATACTAAGTTGATAAATAATGGGGGAAAGGGAGGGCCTTTGCTTACAATAGAATATCATGAGCCGACTGTTATATATGAAGGGAGTGCTGGAGTTGGAAAATCATCATTTTGTAGATTGGTTCAAGCAAGAATTATCAATAGATGCTAAATCTAGGGGGAAACTTTTGATGAAGAGTAGGATATTTGTATGGACTTACAGCTTCTCCCCACAGATTGTTTGTTAGTAGCAAAAAAAGAGAAAAAAACAGTAATTACATAGTGGAGAAGTTGGGCAACACGTTGACCCAAATGAGAACAATCTATTATTTAAATGGGGCTTCAAAAATATCAATGTCATAGAAGACAAAGAAAGGCTGTTGCAGATGAAAGGAAACTAGAGACGGGACACAATGGGTGATCCTAGACCAAATCCTATATAGCAAAAAAAAAAAAAAAAAAAAAAAAA